GTGTTGTTTACTGTTCCAAGTCACTTAGAATTAAGTTCAGGTCCCCCCAACAGCGTGGACTGATCTCATACCTTTGGTGTTATCTGAACATTCCTCACAGAGGCTGTTAAGCGGTTCAGATGGGCAGTTTGGACAGAAACCATCCGGCCCTCGGGTGTCGGCACCAACCATGTGTTCTCGCTCAGGGGCAGTGTAGCTGATGACACGTGCACCCCAGAGTGAACTCTTGGCTTTGTTTGGACCTGTCCTTTCATTTAAATTGCTCTGCAAACCCATGATCCTTGAGACTTAATGTGATTTCTTCCACTCTTCTAAGCACATGACAGAACTGAGTGGGGGTAGCCTTGGGGGTTGAGTGTCGGGAGAGTGCCGGTAACTAATTGATGACAGAGATAAACTGCCTTTATTCTGAGTTTATAGTAGGACCTCTGATCAGTCAGCAGACGTGCTGGAGCCCCCACCACCGCATGCGTGTCACTGGGCTGGGTCTAGGGAATGGGACTGTGCCTTTCTAGGCTCACGGTCAGCACTCAGACCCCAAGAATGTTAAGTAGCGAGGAAGGAGTAAAGTGATAGCTGATGGCACGATTGGAACAGCCATCCCCAAAGCTTTTGGGATTCAGTTGACATCAGTGTTACTACGGGAATTCCAAAGAATTAGGCATCTTGGTAAAGAAGTCGGAGTTTGGGCTGGGCTCTGAAGGGTCATAGGATTTGAGAGAATTGGGATGGGTTGCCAGGTTTAGCAAATGAAAACATAATATCCCGTGTATTTGAGATTCGTTGTTTATCTGAAATTAAAAATGCGCTGCCCAATCCTGTATTTTCTCCAGCAGGCCTGTAAGGGAGGATATTTTCAGGCAGAAGAACACATGTGCTAACTTGCCTGCGCAGAGAGCCGCGAGCAGGACTGGATGGTGTTGGGAGGCTGCAGGCAGAAGTGGGGCTGAGATGGCGTGGAAGCGAGACAGGTTGGTGGGTGGCGCGCCAGGTCGTGATGGATGCACCCTTGGGCAGCTGCTCTGGTACCAGTCTGTGGGCACAGCATGTCATCTGCGCTTCTCAGTTCCCATGATGACAGGAAGATGAAAGAACACTTTATGTTTGGTCAAAGAAACAGGACTGATGGAAGGGAATACAAAGGTGTGGTCCAATTTGAAAGTTTACCCAAAAGGTGAAAATTGTACTTGCTTGGGTGAAGAACCGGCTGGCCGTATCATGTCCCAGATGCTTTTCACGGAAGGGCACATCCTCCTGCGTCTTCAGGAGTTCTCTGTGGTTTTCTGCACGCTGCCGTAATTTTGTGGTGACAGTTTAGATGTATGTTCTTCTGGGGTTGGTTAGTACCTGGCCATGGACTTCCATGGGTGGCTGGTCGTGGGAGCTCAGATAATACCACCGCTCAGAAGCTCGTGCAGGTGCTCTCATGATATCAGATTGGGCAGCGGTGGAGTGGAGGTCAGCGTTGTCCAGACCTCATGGGATTGAGAAGTTTCGTGACCAGAATAGGAAAGGTAGGCTGGGCGGGCAGCGAGAGCGGCTCTTGAGGACAGCTGCCCTTGTTAGCTTTGTGCTTTGAAGAACATGAGTTACAAAGTGGGAGGAGTGGAGTCTCTTCCAGTTCTTTACACTGACCTTGAAAGTTACCCTGATCTACTTGGACAGGCAGGGAGGGCTGGATCCCATTTTCTAGACCAGTGGCTGCCACATTTTTTGATTTCGCAGGCCAGAAACTTCTTTTTTTTTTTTTTTTTTTAAAGGCGGGGGGGAGTGTGTGGAGAGAGAAAAACAGAGGAAGAGTAGGTCACTGGGTTGCCAACTTTTAAAACAAAACCAAGTGACCTATCATTTCATAAAATTAAAGGCATCTTAATACCCTGCCCCCAAAAAGCATGCTCCAAATAAAGGGTGAATACATTTAACTATATGAAGAACTTTATGTCATCTTGATTATAGTCTTTCTTTACCCGAAGTGAAGTATTTTCACAAAGCAGTGACGTTCATATCACAGACCAGCAGCATCCGGTCTCCACGAAGCTCACTCACTGTGTTCGACACACGAACAGCCGGCACAGCGGCTAGAACCCAGGCTCTTAGTTCCCAGTCTCGCCACCATTGTTGTGCTGCTCGGGGTCACATAGTAATAAAAACACCAGTTCTCTTTGTCTTAGGGCTTCTCCACCACATCGCGATTCGTATCTGAGAATATCTGGTTGGAACCACACGTGAACCACTGGTGTCCATCAAAGTTCAGTTCTTGATGACCAACTCTTTTGGTGAAGATCCTGACTGCACACCAATTTATGAACTTAAAAACAAAGCTGATTGGTGTTTGGGAGGCTCCACGTTGTAAAATTCCTCCGTCCCATGCACATACCGAGCACTCACTCTGTGTCCAGCACTAGGGCCATAGGCATGGGGGATGCCGCCGTGAACGAGATCGAAGTCCCCACCCTCGCAGAATCTACGTTCTAGGGAAGGGGGGGATAGACAACAAATAAATTTAAACCTCCTTTCAGTCAGTATAAGTGCCAGGAAGAAATTATTGAAATACTTCTGATCCGTGGATTAACCTTTTGGACAGCAGTGCAGCGGAGTCTGTTTTATACAAATCCCATTATCTCGCAAGCTGTCTTAGGTTGGGGGATGTAGCTGCAAAGCAGCATGACGGGTGGGGAAGGGGAGACAGCTGGTCACAGGCAGAACTGGGGTTCAGAAGAACCAGATTCTGAAAGGTCCGTTATTATCCAGTGTCTGGAGCAGTGTGGTCAACTCAGGTGGGACGCAGGCTGACGTTGACGTCGAAGACTCACAGCAGATGATACTGAGTACTAAGAAGGGAGGGTGGGCATGTCGGTGTCCGTTATAGCGTGCACGCATCCCCCCGTGCTGGGCGCTGGACTGAATGCCGAATGCATGGTCTCGTGTGATTCCCCAAATCACAGTGAGTTGGTTTTAGAAATAAAACCACTAGACAGTTACGGAAATCAAGCCAATAGTGCCAGGGCCCTGACCGGTTAGAACGGGGTTTGAGGCAGAAGTCAGGGCCCAACAGGGAAGCTAAGGCAGCAGCCCAACAGAACAAATGGTGACGCTTTGGGAAAGGATTTGTCCGACAGGCTGGCACAGAGGTGCTCAGGGCCATTTCACCTGGGCCCACGGCAGGAAAGCAAGACTACTTCCAAATCCCAGCTGCCTTGGGTGGAAGCTGTTAAAGTCTTCCTTGTCTTGGCCAGGACTTTCTTCCAGGTTCTGTGGCCATTGGTTGCTGAGCGGGGAGGTTATTTGCCACCTTCAGTGGGAGGGGTTATTTGCCACCTCAGTGTGCCTTTGGTGTTCTCTGTCCTTCCTCTTCGCTGTCTGTTAAATCGGAGTTACCACCAGAGGGGGAGATTTGTCTATAGTCTGTAAAATGGGCGTAATACAGACCTACTTCACACAATGAGAGTTAGCTCTCAGGTAGACAGTATGCTGTATGTAAAGGCCTAGCATAGTGCAGGATACATGGCAGACGCTTGGAAATGGTAGGGGATTGATGTTCTCATCACCAAAACTAACTTTGGGAAAATCACCCCGTTTGGGGGCACCTGGCTAGGCGGCCCAGTCGGTGATGCATGCGACTCTTGATGCCAGGGTTGTGAGTTCGAGCCCCATGTTTGGTGTAGAGATTATTTAAAAATAAAATCTCAGAACAAAAGAAAAAAAGAGCCCTGTTTGTATGTGTGTTGGGGGGGAGGGACACGGGCGGGCGTCCCAGGTTGTGTACCGGAGTTACTGGTGCGCATCTCTCTTGTGGGGCCAGATGACCCGCACTGGTCCTTGTAGAGGGAACTGATTGTTCCCTGAGGCCAGAGCTTTGCGAGACAAGGTCACTGTCCTCCAGTTGTGCCAGCCGGGGCCTTGGGGCTCAGCAGAGGGGCCCAGGGAAGCCCACGGAGGCCGGGTGGTCTAGGAGGTGGCAGTCCCCTGCCCCCACCTTTCTGGAGGCGGTCAGGGTCTTCGGGAGGAACACAGGAACTGCTGTAGCAGCCTACTCCCCCTGCTGAGAGGCTCTTCTGGGTATCTTTGCCATATGATTTAACTTTTCCATTTGGAAGGGCTTTTGGTGCAGTTGGACTGGCCTGGTAAACGATATGGTGGGGCCTCCATAAACCCAGGGCCATGAAACGAATAAGTCAGCACATTGAAAATATAGCATGGAAGTGACTCAAGCCCAAAGGAATCTGTTTCTGAAAGTGCTGCCATCCCTTCCTGGAATATTTTGGTGGAAATGGATGTTTGAATTGGGAGGAGGAGGCCAGCAGCCTGGTTACTGGCAGGCCATGTGTCCAGTCCGGCAGGATTTGCCCTGGGAGTCAGCCCTACCTGGCACAGGCCCCCGGGCCGCCCTCCTCCTCAGGGATGCGGCTCCACGTGGGTCCACCTGAGATAAGCCAGCTGGAGCTCGGCGCTGTGCCAAGCTGGTGTGAAGCTACCTTTGCGGCAGGTAGGGTCGACTCTGTGAGCCAACCTGGTAATGCTTGGCCCGGGGCCTGGAAAGTACTGGAAACTCCACCCAGCATGGGAGCCTGTGGGAGTTCCCCAACACGGACGGGTTATTCTCAGAGTTCTTTGGATTCCTGTGTATTTCAAATGTTTACCTTCTTCTCAGGACTTGAGCTTGTACTTTGCCCACCAGAGACCAATACCAAGCACATACATACTTAAATGTACCAGACCACCCTGGCGACCAGGTAATTAAAGCTGCGCGCAGATTTGGAAGGGAGGCTGTGTTGGAAATCACGCTCTGCTGTAATTCAAGAACAGGTTTCTTTATGGAAGGACACAGTCAGTATCGGACACGTGTGGAAAAGGAAAGAACGGGCCCAGGATTCTGGCAGAGTACCAAGGGCCAGATGTTAAATGTGCTGACCATGATGTGGCTCCAGTTGCCATTAGCCAACCTGGGTCGGACGTGTTGTTCTAACCCTGGTTCTGCCTTTTTCCTTTCTTTCCACCAGGTCCCCAGTCTGTGCGAAGATCTCCTGTCTTCTGTTGACCAGCCCCTGAAAATCGCCAGAGACAAGGTGGTGGGAAAGGATTACCTTTTGTGCGATTACAACAGAGACGGGGACTCGTACAGGTGAGCGCCCGGCCGGAGCCAGCCACTGCCGCCCGGGACCCCTGCACCCCCGCACCCCGGCACCCCGGCGGCCCTTGTCCCCTCTGTCGTTCCTCCCGCTCTCCCTCCCTGACCCCGTCCCCCCATCCATCCTGCCATCCAGTCAACCAGTAGATGTTTGTGGAGGGCCTCCTGTCAGCATTGGACACTCGGCAGGGAACAGAGGGCCCGGCCCTGGCAGAGCCTCCAGGCTAACGGGAGAAGGCCCTTGTTACAGCACAGAAGCTACGTGAAGTCCTGCTAAGGTTGTGAGGTACAGGGTGTGCCCGGAACGGGGGTCTTGAGCACAAGGACGGCCTGTGTGGGCGAGGGATTCGGATGAGGCTTTGTCCAACAAACACGCGACTCAGCTTTCTCCCCCCATCGCCGTGCTGAGGGCTGTAGATGACAAGGCTGCCATCCGTCCTTGGGCGGAGCTATCACAGTGCTAGACCAGGACATGCACCTCGCGGCTGATGACCGTGTTGTGATTCATGCCGCCAGGACCAAGGTTATTTGGAAGTTGAGGAGAGCATAGAAGAGGCTGGGGAAACTCCAGAAAAATTTCCTGAAGGAGGTGATGTGCAAGCTAGGTTTTTAAGGGTGTCTAGGAGTTCTTCCTGTTGAAAAAGATCAGGAATCCCTAAACGATCCAGCATTTCTGTGATGGATTGCTGTAGTCAGGGCCTTGGAGAATGGTGGAGGAATGCAGTCTGCTTTAGGTTTATTTAGAGGCCATAGAACCTGGGCTGAGTCTTAAAGCTTCAGCTTAATGTTCTCGGGGCGGGGGGGTGGGGCAGAGTCCTGAGGGCTGGAAGCAGGGAAGTCAGCCGACATCGGCTCCAGACCAGCACTGCCCCCTCCCTGTAGCAACGAGGCCTTTGACAAATTACTTGTTGTCTCTGGTCTTTGGTTTGCTCACGTATCTGGAAATACGAGCATTCATTCTTCCAGCAGAATGCGCAGTAACATCTTTGTCAGCATGTCCTGTGGGTGCGGGGCACTAGTCTAAGTCCCTCTTCCATGGAGCTGCAATCCCAGTGAGGAGGCCAAGTTGCCAGCCAATGCAGAAGTGACAGAGACTGCGGAAAGTGAGTCAGGAAAATAAAAAAGGACGAGGGACAGGAGAGGCGGGATGGAAAGTCAGGGAAGGCACTTCTTTTAGTGCTAACACGTGAAACGGGACTGGGGTCATGTGCGGTCTGGGGGAAGAGCCTTCTGGCGCTGAGCTGGTCGGGCTTGATCAAGCTTGGCAGGAAGGCTGGAGCGGGAGGTGAGGTCAGAGGGCGCAGCAGGGCCAGCCGTGCCGGGCCTTGAAGGACGCCGCACGGAGTCACCGGGGGTTGCAAGAACTGACGCACGTCAAGGCTGAAGGGCATGGAACTTGGTGTGAATTACAAAAATTTCCTTAATAATGACTTTTCAGAGAGACCAGACAGATGTTTCATAGTTGTGTCCCTTTGCCAGCTTCAAATGGACGTTAGGTCAAGAATAGGCCAGAGACCCGCGTGGAGATGGTGAGCAGTCGTCGGACTTGTGGTCCGTCCTGAGAGCAGAGCCAGCAGCGGCGCATGCGCGTGAACGGGGGTGGAGGGTGACTGCAAGGCTTCCGGCCTGAGCAGCTAGAAGGCGGGGGCTGCGGTGGGTTGAGGTGAGGAACGCTCTGGCGGGAGCTGCTGGGGGCATCTTAAGCCTGAGAGGCCCATTAGATGGCAGTGGAGATGTCCAGTAGGCTGCAGATAGCCCCGAGCTCCAGGAGTGAGGGCAGCGTGAGGATGAGGTGGACGCACGGATGCTGAGCAGCCCTGGGGTAGAGCGCGTTCCATCCGGAAGGGCCAGTCACGTGCGGGCCGTGGACATAGCGCCAGGTCTGGTCCTCGCTGTAGAGAGGTCTGTGGTGGCCCTAAGTGGTCTGACGGACCAGGCGACCTGCCACCAAGGGACAGCTAGCCCCTCCGGGCACAGGGTTCGGGGGCAGCTTCCCGGAAGAGGCGATCCTTGAGCTGAGTCTTCCTCACTCAACGTCGTCAGCGTATTTCTTGTTTCCACCTGCAAACTCTGGTTCGCTGTGTACGGCAGCTGGTCCCCGGCAGCCTGGGGACGGCTGGAATTGTTTCCGTGGCCAGCGTCCGTGCCCGGGCCGGGCTGCCCGGGGCTTGGTGCCTGCAGCCCCTCCGGATGGCCCCGCCGGCTCCCATGTTCCTGGAGCATCGCCAAGAGGCCTGGCGGGGGCCTCAGCCAAAGAGGAACCGGGGTGTCAGGGCACAGGACTGTTCTTTCCTTTTTCCCCTTCTCGGTATAAAACCTCAAGGTCTTCTGATTCTCCCCACACATTTCCATCCTAACTGTGTTTGATCGTTCACTTAAATAAGATCCTTATGGCGTGACCACTGCCTGCAGCACCGTTTGAAACCTGTTAGCTCAAACAAAAAGCATTCTCTGAGGGAAATGAAAGGCCTGACTTTTGAAATCTAACCGTTCCTGTCCATCTGTCTTTTTTCAAATGGCCTCCATTTAAGCTCTTAAATGTGTTCTGAGTGCCCCTTCCACTAAGAATATTCTGGGTAATGTTATGATTTTTTCCCCCAGCTACAATTACCCCGGCTCCAGGACGAACGGCTTCAGATGCTGCCATCTGTGAGCCAGGAGAAATGGGAGTTACAGGCTTCGTGAAAATTCCAGGCCCCCAGTCTGCAAGAGAGAGGGGCTCTTGTGTCTAATCAGGTCGCCTCTAAATGAGAGCCAGTTGGAGAGGGTCTTCTAGGCCCACGGGAAGGCGAAGGCTGTGTAGCTGGGGGAACGAAGGTCAGACCTGGGTGTATGCGGAGAAGTCCTGAACGGGGCACGTCGGGGAGGGGGGCCTCGGAGTCTCTTCCGCTAGCCCCTGGCAAGCCTAGTGGTGGGGACGGCACCCTTCCACTCAGTCTTTGTCTCGGGATCTGCTGGGAGGCCTTTGCTGTTGTTTTTACGTGCTTAGGTTTCCCTCAGAAAAAGCAGAAGGTGGCTCCTTCTCTCTTGGTTTGGAAGACCACCAGCAGAATCCCTTTGGGTCTGTCTTTCCCACCCCATGCTCTAAGGCTTTGGCCCATCACCAGCGCTCACTGCCCAGGAGCTTGTGGTCGGTGCTGGGGCAGGGGGCGGACAGCACAGGCTCCTTCCCCACATGCCCTTGCAGCCTCGGGAAGTGGGGGGGCTGGGGCAGCTGCAGGAATCCACATCCGTATGTGAGAGTGGGGGGCCGGGGGGCTGTGGGGGCTTCTGGGGGAGGTGCAAGGATTTTGTCACCTTTTTAACAGCTTTCTTAAATGAGCGTGTGGTTGAATGCCAGGCTCTGTTCTAGGTGCTGAGCAAACCATGGAGAAAAAGACAGGAAAGACTGGCCCTCTTGGAACCTCTGTTCCAGAATTGTTGTCTGCATTAATTCAGATGAAGTAAAATTAATACAGCTCCTTGGTTGCACTAGTCACATCTCAGATACTCAGCGGCCTTCTGAAGCTAGTGGCTGCCCTTTTGGACAATGCCAATATAGACCATTTCTGTCCTGGAGTAAAGTTCCCTGAGGCAGCACAGTTTTGGGGGAATGAGGAAGACGGGTTCTGACAATAAGAACAGACACATCAGCCGTGCTCTGAAAGGGAGAGGCCCCTCGGCGAGGATGTGAGGGTGCCCAGTGTCAGCTTCACACCTGCCTCCTAAGCCGGATGGGTCCTGGCTTATCGGACAACTCTTTCCCATGCCGTGTGCCCAGTCCAGGGTGATCACAGAGCTGGCTACTGGTCATGGGGCAGAAGGGAGCACCTTACCCCATTCTTGTAAAGTCTCTGTACCAAGTGAGGAGAATGGCGGGGTGGAATGGTCAGCTTGGAGAGAAGGGTTTCCAAAGGCTCCTTGTGCTTCAAAGTAGTTGGGGCTACTGCTGCCTAGAGTTTTGGGAACCAGGGGCAGTGACCCTTGCCCTGCTCGCCGTTGGTGGCCCGGCAGCTGAGAGAGCTGGGACCTCTGTGTGGAGGCGGTCCTGGGGAGCGGCCCCCCAGCTTACTCTGGTTCCACACTTGTGAGTTGCTGATGTAGGTGCCGGGGTGGGGCGGGGCACCCATTCCCTAGAAGAATGATGTTTGTGCACGTAATGCATTAAAACTGGGGTTCTGAAGACGGTGATCCCCTTTTTCCATAACATCAATTCCAAATTGAAAGGTTCTTTTGAGCCTTCTGTGAGGCGAAGTTTGCTTGTCAGCAGGGGAAATGGGAAAGGTGATGATGTCGAGGGGTTTCGAACCACCCAGGAGTGGGAAGGACTTTGTCCACGGCCCACAGCACTGCCACCAGCCTCCATTCCTCTCACCTTTTCGTTCTTATTCTTTCTCTGAACTCCACCTGCAGGAATTAACGAGGAGATACTTCCCCTAGAACCCCCCTTTCCGGTACTCTCTGTCATTAAATGCTTTCCTGATGTGGCAAAATATACTTTTTTTAATGCAGCAAGTCTTTGGGCTGGAAAAACAGAGGCTGGTTCTCATTACTTAGTCTTTTTTTTTTTTTTTTTTTTTAGGATTTCATGTATTTATTTATAGAGAAAGACTGTGTGTCCGTGCAGAGGCACGCAAGTGTGGGGAGGGGCGGGGGGGAGAGAGAATCTCAAGCAGACACTCCACTGAGCGCAGAACTCGGCACAGCGCTCAATCTGCCAACCCTGACATCACGGCCTGAGCCAAAAGCAAGAGTTGGACACCCAAATGGCTGAGCCACCCAGGCGCCCCAAACTTAGCAGGCTTTGTATTTGCCCATGATCTCAGATGGGAAGGCTGTCCCGTTCTCATGGAGAATAGGACCCCTCAGGTTTTCTCGCGTGTAGTCGGCCTGCCTCTATGACCAACAGCTGTCTTAGTCCTTAGCTCAGTAGGAAGGTCTTTGGAGTAAATGTTTATCCAGAGCTGCCAGCAGGTTAGGGAGGCAAGAGGGGCATCTGCTGATCAGTACAATGGTGAAAACAAGGGGATATTAGGAAAAGGGTAAGAAGCTGTCACATCGTTGACAGTACATGCCCGGCTCTGGTCTGGGCACCTGGTGTGTGTCTTCTCCTTTGCTCCTCACGACAGCCCTGTGGGTAGCAAATGGTAGCCTTGTTTAACACGCTCGGAAAGGCAAGCTCAGAGAAGTCAAGACAACTTGCTGGAATAACGGCTGATGAGAGGTGGTGCTCGAGGCCTGTGCCCAGGCCTGTCTGCCCCTGAGCCCTTCCTCGGCAAACCTCAAGAAAGCCGTGTTCGTCGCAGGGCCTGGAAACATCTTTGCTATGGGTGGTGGCTTTTCCTCTGAAATATCAGTCCGCCGGGGCTCATGGCTCACGAGCCACGTCTCCTGGAATGACTGGTGTTACTTCCTTCTCCTTCCTCCCCTCCAGGTCACCATGGAGTAACAAGTACGACCCTCCTTTGGAAGACGGGGCCATGCCTTCTGCTCGACTGAGAAAGCTGGAGGTGGAAGCCAACAATGCCTTTGACCAGTATCGAGACCTGTGAGTGACTTCCTCCCTTCCCGCTTTGGCTCCCACGACCTTGATAAGTAAATCACAAAGGAGAGTGTGTGCAGGCCAAGCAGCCTTCCTTGAACCTGTCGCCTGGCTCACCTAACGAATAATGAATTAAAACTGAGCACTGATGGCAGGATGATGGGCACCGGCCTGGTGACTGGGGCAGTTATGAGGGGCCTCGGCGGTGGAGCGTTACCATGCACAGACCTGCCTGTGCAGGCCCCATGTCGTGCTTCTGATAATAGCAGGTACCCCCAGGCCAGCACCCCACTGTGTATCAGACCCAGTGCCGCACACATTCTGTGTGTTGTCTCAGATCCTTACAAACACCATAGCTATTTTAGTCCCCATTGCTCAGATGAAGAAATGAAGGCTCAAAAGATTGAGGCAAGAGGCAGAGCCAGGAATCAATCAGGCCTGTCTGTCTCCAGAAGCCCCCCTGTTGTTACCACCCTGCATGCCCCTGACTGGTCGTACCTGCAGCTCGGAGACCCCTGCCTCTGTCGGGCCCTTGCCCTCTCTTAGCCTCCATGTCGCTGACTCCTAAGGTCTTTGGGGCTTTAGCCCCTGTTTTGGAAAGGTTTTTGCTGGGTCTGCTTAGATCCCCACCTCTCTTTTCTGCTTCCATCTGGGCCTGCCGCCCACCATACCACCAAAAAGAGCGGCCATTATTCACCCACCTTACAAGGGGGGGCTCTGGAGAAGGTTAGTCCCTGAAGCATTTCTTCCTGAACCGGTAGAATCTCATGGTAAAGTGAGTTTTGCACTGAAAATAGAGCACAACTGTAAAAGACACAGTACTACCACTGTACAAACTCGGTCATTTCAGAGGGGTCCACAGACGTTTCTGTGAAGGGCCAGACAGCAAGCTAACAGTTTAGGCTTCATGGGTCATAGAAGTCTCTGTCATTTACTTTTACTGTTTTCGTATGTTACGTGTATTACCTTCTAAAAACGTAACCCCCCCACCCCGAAAAATGTAAAAACCACCTCTCGAGCCTTGAGGTGGGTGGGATTTGGCCCTGGGTCTGTCGTTTGCCCACCTGGACCTAGGATCTAGGCAATAAAGTGGAAATGGGAGAAGCAGAGCATCTGAGCTGCTTCGTCCAGGAGCTGGTGGTAGCACCTGTGGTGTGGGGCTTCTGGACTCTGTTTTGCAGACAGTTGGAATGGCCTTCCAGCTCATAGCAGATTTGGTAGAACACATTTCATGAAGAATTTCTTTTAGAAGCTGGTTCAGGAGGAGAAGTGACACTTCTCAGTCTGACATTCGGGCAGAAAACCCCATGACGCTGAAGCAGACGAGTGAAATACAGAAGCCCAGCTCTAAGGAAGCAAGATCAAATGGCCCTCCACATTTCTGTCGGCCCTGAATGCATCGCCGTGTGGTTCAGCTTTAGCTTGGGGATCGGTCGCATGCCGGGAGTGTCTGTAACGTTACCTCTCATCCCTGCAAAAGCCTTGGGGAAGAGAATTGCCCCTTCCTTATGGATGAGGAGACCGCGGGCTCCTGATGCTAAATGACTCGCCGTAGGATGCAGAGGTGAAGAGCTAGGATTTGGGCCCATGTTTGCCTCAAGTTTTCCCAAGTTACCGATCTTCACAGTTACAGTAAGTCGCGGTGTTGAACTGTGCTGTCGGAGACCGACTGCTTGTGCAGGCAGGCTGACGTGGACGCGTCGCTGTCCTGTCGTTGGCTGGTGGTGGGTTTTACTGCCGCCTTCCCCCAGCCGTTTGGCAGGAAGCTCGTCCAGCTCCCACCCAAGAACTCCCGGGTGGAGTCTGTCTCGTGTCGCGCTGGGAGGCTTGACAACGGAAGGGCAGTGGTGACCCGGTGGTCCCCAGCCAGTGCCTTTGTCAGCACACGGCTCTGCTTACCTCGTGTCATCTTCCACACAGCCCGTGTGCTGGGATCGTCCCCGTCCTGCAGGGGAGGGGACAGATTCAGAGAGCCCAAGGACCTTGCCCAAGCTCACACAGCTAGTGGGTGGTGGACCTGGGGTGTAAAGCCATCCCTCTTCCAACTCCAAAGTCCAAAATCTTCATGTACTCGAGCCGCGCTGAAGGGGCCCACCAAGTACTGAACGTGGCAGACTGCGTCCCCGCCTTCTGGAGTGTTCACTGTGGGAAGACACCATGTGGGAACGGGTGTCGCGATGGGTGGCGGGATGGGGTTAGGGGAGTGGTCGGGAAGCCTCTCCGGAATGTGACCTTGGAGCTGAGGTCTGATGCCAGGAGGGGGCCGGCCGGGCCGCAGGCTGGGAAAGAGCAGTCTTTCAGGGCTGCTCGTGTGGGAGCCTCTTGGATTCTCCAAGGGTCGGAGCGAGAGTGGTTCTGATGTCTTTTTATACATAAGGGTTTGAGTTGTGACTTTCTGAATGAAGCGATTCGGACGTGTGGCCTTCGTACTGGCCTCTCAGGCCAGCCCTGGGGAAGAGCCCAGGTCTCGTCTTCGGCTTCTTTTGTCCTCCTTCCTGTCTTGCCGGTTTGCATACGGAGTGATGCATGGTCATTGTTAGGCATGTCCCTTCTGTGAGGCCTTGATTGGCCAGGGAGGTCACGCTGCCCGGGTATAATGAGGCCTGGGACTCCCTCCCTAGGTGTACCTCCTTATGGCACCTCCTGGAAAGACTTCCCTTCCTGGGCAGATGTCCGCTTTGAAGGTGGCGGATGTCTTTGAGCCTCTGGTCACCTCTGAAGGGAGAGTTGACCTGCTGGGGGGTTGAGAGGGGCTGACAGGACCGCCTCCAACACCCAGGTGGGAGATCAAACCGGACAGGCCCAGAGCCTGAGGTGCTGTGGCAGTTTGTAGGCGTGGAACACGGCCCAGAGGCTGCCCACCGGTGTGCTGCTACTCGTGGGGAGGAGAGAGTTGAGGGCCTCCGGGTATTGGGGGTGTGGCGGGGCGCATGTCTCCCCACGTGGCAGCAGCTACAGGCCACCGCAGGGGTGGTGGTTAGAGCGGTCACTGGGGACCCGGAGTCCTGTCTCAAGCCACCCAGTTATCAGAGTACTGAGGACACTCTCTCCTGAGGCCATGTGTGGGGAACATTTTCCCAGCTGGACCACACATGAGTTAAAATGAGACCCATTTCTGGGCTAAAAATTATGAAAACAGATCCTTTTTTTCCTTTCTTTCTTGCCTTTTTTCATTATTTTTTTTACCTTCTTGGTACATTGCTCACCTCCAGAAGTCCCCGTTCTCAGTGCCGAGTTGTTGGTGGCCACGTTGGTGACCATGGTACGGGGCCCGGAATGTGAGCTCTTCTTTTCCTTGTGGTTTTGGAGCAGAGGGAAGTCAGCCGGGGGCTAGGAGCCCATGTCTCTGCCTTGAGTACAGGCCAGCGGTTACCTGGGTGTTCTAGGGACCAAATTGTTCCATAGGATGAAGGTGTAGTAGGTCATGCCTTCCCTTTATCCTCATCTCTTCCCCTTCCCATTAGAAAGACACATTCCAGGGGCACCTGGCTGGCTCAGTGGGTAGAGCGCGGGACTCTTGGTCTCAGGGTTGTGAGTTTGAGCCCCATGTTGGGTGTGAAGACTACTTAAAAGTAAAATCTTTAAAAACAGCAAGAACAAAGACAGACATACTCGAGTCCTGTGGGAAGACTCATTTGTTGTCACCCCAGGGAACGAAGCCACAGAGCTCTCCTTCCGCCTGTCTTTCTGTCATTGGCAAAGGTTACTCTGAGGGGAGGCACTCCCCCCAACACCGCCTTGTGTCTGGCTGGCTCTGCTGCTTCCGAGCTGCTTGCAGGAGGAGCCGGCATGGGGGCCTGCGTCCCAGGCCTGGCGAGAGATGCCCAGAGCTTCAGGCAGACCCACCCTGCCAGGAAGAGAAGGGAGTGCTGCCCCCGTGAGCGCAGAACAGGCACGCCATTGTGCCCAGGAGGACGAGATGAGTTAGGCCGCCGTCTCCCAGGGCACCCCATTCCAAATTGGAGCTTGGCCTGCACCCCACGGGGGTTAAGGAATGTGAAGAGCAGACCCATCCCCTGTGCTAACCTGGTCTTTGATTCCTGATGACCCCAGATGTTTCGTATTTCTTTGATCCCGATGGGTCGCAGAGTTAGGACTGGGCTTGCCTTGTGCTCGACTTCTTGACCACTGACCCTCTCAAGTGACTGAAGCTGCCAGGCTCCGGCCTTCGGGCTCAAATCCTCCTGCGGTGAATGCTTCTGAGAGCTGCTGGTTGTATGGACTGCTGGTGGGAAGGGCCCTTGCTGTGCTGGGCGGGCCACTGAAATGGGCTCAGAGATTGTCTGCTTTGTCATCTGAAGGTCTGGAGATTTGGCGCGCGCACACACACCAGCAAAAAAAGGCCTAAAGTGCTCTTTCCTGCCACCCCTCCGCACTGCCACCCCCACTGGCCTATGCCTCGACTGGCGTTGTAGGGATATTTTGTCATCTGGCAAATTGACAGGCACCCCTTTCTCCTCCTGCTTATTGTGGACCCGTTAACCTTGTTCCTGGTGCTGATGTTCTCGGGAGGATGACTTCCGGAGCCTAGCACTGAAGTGAAACAGTGATCCAGCCCAGGCAGATAGAGCCGCACAGGCTTTTCCAGAGAGTGAGTGCTCGCTGTCTCCCCAGAGGCTGCTCTCTGCCATGAGAGATTACAGATTCTTCATTAGCATCCTGGGGGAAAGCCTTGGATTCTGTCCTCAGGTGGGGGCTTTGGTCCCAGCTGTCAAGGCTTTGACTTTGCAGGGAATTAGAATGAATTATGAGCCCTAGAGCTGGTCAGAATGGTCACAGGGAGGGAGCTGGAGCCTGGGATGGGTGGACCCGCAGGCAGGCCCTCCACTTGTAACTCCTATGGGAGCGTGGCACTCCCCTCCCCTGCCTGCACACCCTTTTTCCCCCATTGTGGAATAAATGTGCCCTCCTTTGGGGCGTGGGCAGGAGGAGGCAAGTCGGGGCCCCTTGGAAGTCAGATTGTCAAGTCCCTGCTTGCCTGACTCTCCACAGCTCCCTCACTGTGT